TCTCTGCCATTTTACTTTTTAATTGTTATCACCTCCTGTCAGTCACAAGGCCTAGAGCCTCACCAATGGCACAGGTGCTTCTAGTGCAGTTAGAAGAGCTTTAAATCATGTGTTCTTCAGTCTGCTGAGCCTTTGGTTTGTTGTTGACAGAGGAAAAGAGCTATATAAAAGTCAGGTGATACCGTGTGGTTATGGCAGTCATTCAAACAGTGCACAGCCTGTCAGGTGTCCCATAGCTGACTGAGTGTGCCATCACTTCCCAGCACAGGTGCTGAACCTCTGCTGCCTCTCTCAGCCAGGTACAACCTCCTCACAGGCACACCTGGAGCGAGCTCACAGCTAAACCCCCACAGCCCCTACACTGCCCCTCTGGCAAAGCCACAGGAGTAAGATTTCCTCATGCTGAACTTCCTGACCTGCAGTGTTAAGTCAGTCAATGGCCATAAAGAAAAGGTGGGGCAAGAGCCCCAATCCCTGACTTCCAGCTCCACACTCGTTCCCTCAGAGACAGAATCACTGTTTACCCATCTTATGGATCCTCACCAGGATGGGTTTTATCCCTGCAAATCAGCTGCCTGCACTGGAGCTCCCTCTCACCTGGCAGCAGCCACGTCCCACACTCTGCACCTGCACTGTCCAGAAACGCCCGAAGACGAGTCTGTAAAATGAACCGTAATGGGGCAAACTCTGAGTTTTGAACACATCTCCCCATCAAATCCAAAGAGAACCCCTGGATGTGCTCAGAATCAATTCTTTGAAAAGCAGCGAGCTCCTCACCCAGCTTTGGCTTCCGTCCTGCAGCGCTTTCAGCTGAGGAGCTGATCAAAACAAGGTCACAATGATATCCTCCTTTAATGAAAAGAGTGTTCCCTCTTCGTTCCTCTTTTCTGGGAAACAGGTGAGTTGTTCTTGTTCAAAGGTTCAGCATTGTGACAGAGACCCTTTGAAGGCCACCCTTGAAAAGTGCAGGCCTAATAGGTGTAAGTTTCAAACAGTTCCAGGTTACTGGGAACAGGAGGTCAGAATCCAAAAACTTTCTGACAGTGAGAATCTTAAGCAACATAGAAACAACATCAGTACTCCAACACCTGCTTGTTACTTCTTGTGGGGAAGGAAACTAAAAGAAACAAAAAGTGACTCATAAATTCACAGCTCTGGAAGAAATGACCTTTCCATCTCTGGCTGTGCAGGTGAGAGACACACAACATTCCAGAGAGGAAGGCCTAGGGAAAACCCAAACACCACTCCTTACTGTACCTGACCAGGACTCAGAGTGGGGACCCCCCACTTAGTCAAGGGCAGACAGTTTCTAACCCTAAACTCTTTAGATACCAACAGCTCCAGAGCAGGAGAAAAAGGCTTTTGTGTCATTACTACAGTGAAAAACTAGCATCACCATCAAAATATTCCCTCACAGCACAGGTTTTGCTCTGCTTTCCTGCTTGTAGAAAACCTAAATCCAGAGTTCAGTGTTTCACTGAGAAGTGT